TTAATTTGTTTTCTTTATAAATAAATCTTGCCCACTTCTGTTCGCAAGATAAAATTCAGGTGATTTTCTTCTGCAACATGATTGAGTTAGCATACTGTCCAGGAGGGAACAGACAGGCATTCTGAAAGGATGCTGGGTATTTTTAGAGCCCTTTACACATTTTTCTCTGCTATTGTGCTAATATGCTAATGTTTATCTAGGTTGTATTTTTTCCTTCTCTTTCTTTCTTGCTACTTGCAGAGCAGCAGTATAGAATTATGCAGCAAACCCTCCTTTGGGCATTTGTCCTTACTGCAAAGTATTGTACATTTCTTTGCTCCTTAAAATATATACTGCTTTTCTGCTGAACCTAGAATAAAAAGAACAAGGCAGTAGTATCTTTGTGAATCTTAATTCTTTTGAGATAGTGAAAGCTATCCAGCAACCTCTGTTTCCCATTTTCCCAACAGCTTCCCATTTTCCCACTGAACCTCATATTCGTTACAGCCCTGCACCTTCCTGAAGTGAAATCTGTAAACCAGAGCCTCCTGCTTCTTCTCCTACCCCAGTCGACTTCAAGCCTCAGGGCCCATGTTTGTGCACTGGGAGACAATACACCAGCATTGCCTCATTAAAGGGCACAGGTTCCTCAGTCAGACATATCTGTGTGTGAAATATGGCTTTGGCTGTAACCAGCTGTGTCACTCTGAACAGGCACTTAGCTACTCTGAGACTTCATTTGCTCATCTGTGAAATGGGCTTCTGCTGGTATATTTCTTTGGAGAATTTCACGACTGAATGCTTGCCAAGTAGAATAACTCAGTTTCTGAAACTTTATGGGACTCAGAAATGTCCACTAGTATTTGATTTGGTTTAACAACATAAGACTGCCAACGTACCCTAAGAAGAATGAATTCTAAAATAGCAACCTGCTATGATCCAGTTTCGGGATAATTTGAAAGCTCAACTGTCTATTTTTTTTTTATAGAAGTATAGAAGATTTTATTATTATTATTTTAAACTGATGCTGCTTGCCTTACTACTGGGGGCGTTAGATAAGACAGAGATGCATTGTCAATGGAAAAAAAATGGCCTCAGGCAGCTGGTCTGATCCTAGTCTGATCTTAGTCCTATGAAGAATAACTTAGGTGTTGTTTCTCTTGATGTGGGAACTTTAAAGTACTTTTCTTTTCTAGCTATCTACTCTAATTAGGTTTTACATCCCATCAACACTGGCTTTTCAGGTACCCTATCATCATTATTATCATTTCCAGTTTGTGAGCAGCTTTATTTTTCAAAACTTTAAAATGGAAAACAGTAATTTTAGGTCAGGAATGGCAGTATAGTTTTTCTCTGTGGTGGTTCCAAGTAGTTTTCAGTTGACACAGGATTTACAAACTGACTAAAAAGAGAAAAAGTCAGAAGTAATAGAAAGCTCATGGATTTTTTTCGGCAGGGGACTTGGGTTCAAATCTTGGCTCTCTCTTAAGCAGCTGAGTGGCCTTAGACAAGCTACTTAACTAACCTCTCACCTTCAGACTTCTTCTGTAAGATAGGGATAACCTAGTTCAGATGAGATGAAAAGTAATTTTACTTACACTAAGTAGCACATTTTAAGATGCTTACTGAATGTGAGATTTTTCTAGTTCTTCCTGTTGCAAATTACTGTTCTGTCTCTTTCTGTGATTGTTGAGTGATTCAAGTATAGAAATTCCATGATTAGAGTAGAAAATTCCTTCCCAAATGTATTTAAAACAATGAGCGTGGCTCAGTGGGCACTATTAAAACAAAATCATTCATATGATCACCTACTACTTTTATCTTTAATGATTGCCAGATATCTACTTGTTACACTTTTCCTCCTCTTTTATATTTCTGCGCTAAATAATAGCTAACTCCTATTGAGTACTTATGGGCACTGTTCCAGTTTATTTGCATATATTAACTCATTTAATCTTTACAACAGCCTTTGAAGATGAGTCTGTTAGTATCCTCTATTTTATAAATGAGGAAATGAAACTCATTTTAGCTGCCATTTCTGTCATCCATAGGATAGGTAAGATCTCTTTGTACCCCTTCTAGAATTTAATAACTCAGCCACAGGGCACCAATTCACTGGTTAATTAATTTCCTTACATTGTACAAAACAGGGAGAAAACCTATGTGAAGAGTGGTCAGTATTGCAGTGCTAAACAAAAGTGACGTTCTATTTTCAAATGTGACTCTAAGTGAAGAGTGCGCTTTAGCCTGAACATGGAAAAAAAAAAAAATAAATGTCAGTACCCACAGTCCTACCCTTTTTTCTGCATCTGACATTATTATTTTTTTCCTTTCCATAGGCTTAGGCTTCTAATCACATGGTTGCTTTTCATATCTATTTCTATAGCATGTTTCATGCTGAAAGAGAAGTTGACATACTGGTGTCATCATATTAAGGCCAGAACAGTACAGCATTATTGATATTATTATTTTTCCTCTTACAAACAGGATTCCACTTAATCTCTTTTATAGGATGGCACAGTTAAAGTTCTTTCTTCATCAGAGCCTGTTTTAAGAAAGCAGGCCTTTTATTTTATACTTATATTGAGAAACATTGAGTTAAATCTGTCTTTTCATTTGCACCAACACGTTTATTTGAGGCCTCATATTTCCTAGGTAACGTGACTAAGGTAGATTTATTGGTGCTTATTTGCATACTGAACAACATTGGCAAAACTAAAATATAACAAACACATACTAACTTTTGACATGCCACAGCCCACCAAGCATCTGCCTTCATTGCCATGCCTGTAAAGAGAGGGAAATATATTTTCCTCTGAGTTTACAGCTAATTCCTTGTTTGTATTCCACTGTCGTCATTGCTGTTGAGAGCTCTAAATGAGGTTTAAGAGCCTCTTCATATCTAACAGCAGGACTTTATATTAGAGGTGGTAGTTCTTTATAACAGAAAATGCGGCTTTTGCTCACCCACCTCAAATTACATAAAGAACCCTGCTACATTTAAGTAAGGGGCAAGCCCTTGGTTTTGCAGACAAGTTAAGAGAGACTTAAGGCTACACCATTGTGTTAAAGCCTGGCTTTTATTTGTTTCTCTCAATGTTGTTTTTAAGTAGATTGCTATTTATGGCACAAATAATAAATGAAATTATTAAAAAAATTTTTTTTAATTATAGATTAGATTAAAATTTCTTGGTCTGCCCTTCCCAGATTTACTAGCAATAGCTTGTTGAACATTATCTGGACCTTTTCCTATACATTCACTTAGGCATATATCTATCCTTAGAATATACAGATTATTGCATCATGTGTGAACATGTGTGTCTAAAGTATCTTCTTCTGCTCTATATATTGTTCTGCAACTTGCTGGTTTCTTTTAATTCTGTGCCTTTTAGAATAGTCAGTGTTACTGTGTTCAGACTTAATAGGCTAGATTAGTCAATGCAGTTGTCATGCATTATTCCTAAGATCTCAGTGGTTAACACGTCAAATGTTTATTTCTCAGTCATTCAAACGTGTGTCAGGTGACGTCCTCCATGTTGTAACTCTTGTAATCTAGCCTAATCTCTCCTGTGACTCCACCATCTATCTCCACATGTGGCTTGCAGGTCTTTGTAGCCAACAAATAGGACTCTGGAGGGTTGCACATGTTTTTTTTTTTTTTTTTTTTTTTTTTTTGAGACGGAGTTTCGCTCTTGTTACCCAGGCTGGAGTGCAATGGCGCGATCTCGGCTCACCGCAATTTCCACCTCCTGGGTTCAGGCAATTCTCCTTCCTCAGCCTCCCGAGCAGCTGGGATTACAGGCACGCACCACTGTGCCCAGCTAATTTTTTGTAATTTTAGTAGAGACGGGGTTTCACCATGTTGACCAAGATGGTCTCGATCTGTTGACCTTGTGATCCACCCGCCTCGGCCTCCCAAAGTGCTGGGATTACAGGCTTGAGCCACCGCGCCCGGCCCGCACATGGTCTTTTTAAAGTTTTGGCATACTAGCTGCAAGAGAACTGAGACATGTGGGGGTACACATGGTTACTTAGTGATACTGGGTTGCCATAGATATTTTAAATACTTCACACAGTCAGAATATATTATGGTTTGTTTTGCCAGTCTCCTATTTGATGGGCATTTGGATCATTTCCAGTCTTACCCTTTTGTTATGTACAAAAGGTTTTGTTTGTACAGAGAAGATCCTTGCATGTGTCTCTGGTACATGTTTTGTTAGGATAGATACCCAGGAAGTAGACTTTTCAGGTCAGAGGATGTGAGTGCTTTAGGTTTCATAAACACTGTCAAAATGTTTTTGAAGGTGGTTGCACTAGTGTTCTATTGTAAAGGTAATATCTAAGAAAGTACATTTCACCGGACCTTCAACAATAGTATCAAATCTGTGTGTGTGTGTGTGTGTGTGTGTGTGTGTGTGTGTGTTCAGTGGCATCTTCATATTTTCATTTCTTTTGGCAAAATGGCTTCTTCTGTTTTGTCTAAATTTCTGTTTTCTTGATGACTAGCAAATCCTGGGCTTTTTCTAATACTGCTTTTTGCTGCCTTCCCAAGTGAGCAGCACTACTGTGCAAAGTCAGGCTGAAGAAGGAAGGATGGAGCAAGTGCAGAGCCAATGGGTAGATGATTTTCCCTTGCAGGGGTGCCCAGCTCAGGGGCAGTTCTTTTTGATATAATCTAGGGGCAGTTCTTTTTGATATAATCTATTGATTCCCCCACCTCCCCACCCCAGGTGTTATTTCAGTTGTTTCTACACCTAGTTTTAATTTTGAAACCATGGGGTGAAGAATGGTTTCTTGGGTGGGTCATTTTCTTTTTCTGTGTAGCTGTCGAGTTTTGTGCTTGGAGTTTTTATGTAAATTTTTGCCTGCTTAGCCATTGTCTTGTTATCTCCTGGTTCTCTTTGTCCTCCTCCTCATTTTTCATTATTTTTCTTCTGCTTCTGTACCCTTGTTCCCATAGGCCCTTAAATCTTCCTATGCTGCTTTGCTTTTAAGTTATTTTTTTTCCGCTTCCCCTCTAGGCTTAGAAATGCTTGCTCTATCAAAGAAACACAAGAAGGAAGAGAGTGATGGCAAGGATATTGTACAAGTCCAAAGGTAACAAAACCCAGGCACCCACCTGCCCCAGCTGGTTTGAGAACATGATGCTATTCCTAAGACGGTTGCTTTGCCAGAATCCATGTGAAAGAAGGAAAGAAGCTGGGAATTAGTCTAGCTTTCATCAGGGCTCTGGCTTACCATGTGATCCCTAGGCCATGTCACCCAGTCGACAGCAAAGCCTGGCGTCTCCCCCTACTGTTCAGTCTCTGAACAGAGTCTCAAATTGAGGCAAAAGAGCCTCAAATTGAGGGGAATGGTCATGAGGGCAGGTTGGCAAATGACAGGCAGAAACAATTGAAGACACTGGGGCAGATGATCTTTATACTCCATTCCATTCCATGCATTCTAGAATCCATGGATTCTCTGAGAGATTTTTCATGTCTCTTGCAGCAAAGATGTAATTCTAGGGTGGTAACAGATAGGTCTTCCGAGGAGTTGAAATAAACTTCTACCATCCTAGCACATCTTAGGACATCACCTACTCACATCTCCACCTCCTTCCCTCCTTTCCTCCCTCCCTCCCTCCAAAGCCTGGAGTAGTTACATTTTACCTTACATGTACTCTATCAGTATTTCATGAAAGTCCTATTCCTGGTAGACTTTTGAGGAAAGGGACACTATTTTACTTGTCTCTTATCTCAGTCTGTACCACCACAGAGCCTCTGGGGCCAGAGTACAAACACAGGGAACCAACAGTGTTACCCAGTTGATCAGAGAAGCTTTACTGTTCCACAGTGACCTGTGATCTTGGGCAAGTTCAGCCTGAGTTTGCTAATCTGTAACATGGCTTTATTGGTCAGTAAAGTCAATTGGGCAAAAAGGTTGTGCAGCTATAACAAATAACCTTCAGAATTTCAGTGGCCAAAATCCACAAAGGTGTATTTTTCACTACACATTTATGTTAAGTCACTTGGTATATGTCCATCCTTACTCTGGGCCCTGGCTGATAGATAAGCTTCCATCTTGAATGTTGCCATTCCCCATATCAAGAGAGGGCAAATTTGGAGGGGGAGGGAGGGATGGCAATTAATTGTTGGCCTGAATGTGTCACACAACATATGTACTCACAACTTACTGGCTGGAACTAGTTGATTGATATGATACTGTGATGTAATTTTAAAAATACGTATTTGGTCTCTACCCCTGTTTCCTGGCACATAGTTCCTAAGCCCATTGGGATATCATAAGCCCAATGGGTACAAAAGTGATGAGTGTCTTTTGTACCTTAATGAGATAACTAGTGGTTGGAGTCCCCTAGGTAGCTTCAGTATTGTGACTGGTCACCGGAAAGCCCAAGGCATAATTAGAGGGCTGGGACTTTCAGCTCCATCCTCTCAGTCTCTGGGGAAGAGAGAGGGACTAAAAGTTGAGTTAATCGCCAATGGCTAATGAGGTAATCAATCATACCTATGTAGTAAAACCATAAAACCTTAAGAGGACAAGATTTGGAGAGCTGCCAGGTTGCCAAGTATATGCTAGTATCTGGAAGGTGGTATACCCAGAGAGGGCATGGAAGCTCCATGGACATACCCTGTGTTATGTACACCAGTGTCTTTTGTCATATCTTTTATAAAGAACGGGTAAATGTCAGAAGTGTGTTTGTGAGCTCTGTTAGCCTTTCTATAAAATTAATTAAACCTGAGGAGGGGGTTTTTGGAACTCTCAATTGATAGCTGGTTGGTCAGAAGCACAGGTAAAATGATCTGGGGCTTGTGCCTGGCATCTGAAGTGGGTATAGTCCTGTGGGGCTGATCCTCTAACCTGGGGGATCTGATGCTAACTTAGGTAGTAGATATGGCATCACTACCTAAACATCAGCTAAAGTAAGGAAGTGCCTAGAAGAAAACTGGGAATATTTCTTGATTTGTACTAATGACAGCTAGAGAGAGAGATAATAATACTTGACATTTCCTGAATGTTTTAACCACGAAGCATGAATATTTAATATAATTCCTAGCTCATAAGTGCTCAATTAATAGTAGATGGAACTATTATTATTATTTAGCAGTTTATATTACATTTCCAGCATATTTACTACCATCCATTCACATAGCAAATTTTTCCTTACCCTTTTAACAACTGAAAATGCAGAAGTAAACATAAATTATTCTTCTGTAGATTTATCACAATTTTTTTTTTTTTGAGACTAGGTTTCACGCTGCCACCCAGGCTGGAGTACAGTGGCACAATCATGGCTCTCTGCAGCCTTGGCCTTCCGGACTCAAGTTATTCTCTGGCCTCAGCCACTCAATTAGCTGGGACTATGGGTATGCACTACCACACCCTGCTGATGTTTTTACTTTCTGTAGAGGCAGGGTCTCACTATGTTGCCCAGGCTAGTCTTGAACTACTGGGCTCAAACAGTCTTCCTGCCTCAGCCTCCCAAGATGTTGGGATTACAGGTGTGAGCCACTGTGCCTGCCCACACCCAGCTACAAATTCTTAATGAGTGGAGTTGTCTTGAAGTTTTAGAGCCAGCCAGGGAACCTAGTCTTTCAAGTTTTGGATTAACAAAAATAGGTGATTATTCTGTAAAAGAATTCCTCTGTGGAATGATAGCCTGTGTCAGCAGTGGTTTTGGAACTATGCTCACTGTCCTAGTTTTCAATTTAAGAGCAACAGACTTTAAGTGGGCTTTCATTTGAGTCATTGTAGAAACAGTCAATATATATTATGTGTGTAAGAAGCTGGCCTCTGGATCAATTGCAATTAGTTTTCAGCAGATTGCATTAACATATCTGAAATTAATACAGCAAGTATTCTGATGAAAAGGAATTGACCACAACCACATTGTGGCTGTTTTTAGCCTCCCTCAAATGCTCTTTTCAAACTGTATTTTTTCTTCTTTGGTTAATGGCTTTAAATCGGTACGTCTACATAGACATAATCTATTGATTGTTCCATTTGCCTTTTAAAAGTGGTCCTAGATAATAGCACATAGCTAATGTTTAATGTTTTCTTTCACTAAGGGGCTTTTTTGCTAATGTGTTAAACTTGTATTTTTCTTTATATGTTATATGACACACTATTAAGACTATAAAGCCTATAAGTGTGTTCATTTATAGAATTTTGTCTTTTTCAAATCACTGATGTTTCATCAAGACTTAAAAAGTAAGATTAATAAATCATGTATTTTAAAAAATACTATACAGTAAATGATGTGAGCATTGCTTGTCTGGCTATTTATTTTTTACCCAGTTTTATTTATTTCTAAAGAAGTATAGGCAACTTCAATATTAAAAACAAAACCAAACAAAACCATCATTACCAGAACAGAGAGCTATCTTTAGGCTTGATCATGTTGAAATTTAAATTTTTTACCAGTGTGTATATTATGTTTATTTCAGGTCTTAAGGACTAACATGTACTTTTTTATTTTTAGAATTGGCCTGTTTCTGGGAATGGAAAATTGTCTGTATCAGGAGACAAAAGGCAGGGTTGATTCATTGGGCCATCTAAGTGGTATTTTTTGGGTGTTTTTCATATGTCAAACTCTGTCACATTCTTCATAGAGATACAGAGAAGCTTAAGGCACACATTGTACCCTTTAGTGGAACACAGTTAGTTGTGGGGGTCTAGAGCTTTAAATCACCCTATTTCAAAAGAGCTCCATGAGTACATCATAGCTTGAGGATACCAGAAGAAAATGACATTTTAAGGACACAGTAGATGTCCTGAAAGGTAATGGCTCCATGCGATGAAGTTCTGTGGACCTCACTTTTATGGTCTGTGTGACCTGCCTTGGACATCCACCAAAGCCTTGGACAGAAGCCAATAGGATTGTATCAGGTGATGTCCGCGTACTACCAGTCTTGTGATCCAGTTGCATGATTGATTTTTTGTTTGTACATTGACGATATTGTCATCCTACCTCTTGCAAGTAGTTTCCTTTGCATATGACTCATGGATGGAAAGGAGCTTACATTAAGTATATTCATTTTTCCTGTTTATTTTTTTCCCTTTGGGCTTATGGATTTGGTAGGGAATGCTGTTGGTATTATTGGATAAAATGTAAAGGAAGAATTTATTTGTTCATGTTATCATGCCCTTTCACTATGTCATTTTAACACAGATAAAAATATATGGCACATATTGAAAATCCACTTCTACTTGAAACTTAAGCAAAATTCCTTTAGTACACAAGTTGCAGTTTAGGAACTAGTTTAATTAATGATGAATCTTTCAGGTTATTGCACTCAACCTCAGTGCATGAAAGAGATAATCTTGTTGAACCCATAATGGCACTACCTAGACGATGTAAAAAGTATGGTAAAGAAATGAATTAGGCCTGGGCGCCGTGGCTTATGCCTATAATCCCAGTACTTTGGGAGGCCAAGGCGGGTGGATCACGAGGTCAAGAGATCAAGACCATCCTGGTCAACAAGGTGAAACCCCGTCTCTACTAAAAATACAAAAAAAAAAAATTAACTGGGCATGGTGGTGTGCGCCTGTAGTCCCAGCTACTCGGGAGGCTGAGGCAGTAGAATTGCTTGAACCCAGGAGGCGGAGGTTCAGTGAGCCGAGATCATGCCATTGCACTCCAGTCTGGGTAACAACAGCAAAGCTCTATCTCAAAAAAAAAAAAAAAAAAAAAAAAAAAAAGAATTAGTCTGTGGCCTAGTGACTTCAGAGTGTTTAAACAAATTTCCTGAAAAACCTTACAATGATTAACAGTGTATATACAGTTATTAAAATAATGCTATGCTCTTCATTTATTTGGGGTGAGAGGTGGGGAGCCATATCTATATAATAGAGTTCTTAATAGTTTTTAAAATAACTTATTTTGAAATACTTATAGACTCACAGGAAGTTGCAAAAATAGAATAACAGACCCCTGTACCCTTCATCCAGCTTCCCCTAATGCTGCCACCTTGTGTAGTTCTGGTACAGTATCAAAATCAGGAAATTGATATTTGTGTATTACTGTTAATTAGACCACAGACCTCACTCAGTTTTCAGCATTTTAAAAAAACCTGCATTCATTTGTGCATAGTTGTCCTTAACAAGTTTTTGTCAGAAAATAATTAAGCATGAATTTATGTGGATTTTGTCTTTCTTTTGCTTCTCTCAACTCTGGGTTGCTGATTGCCAGTCAACAGTACCTCTAAGACTGGTCATGTAGGTTGACTTTTATTTTTCTTGCTATTAATGAGTGTTCTTACATCTCTCCTGCAATTTCTGTAGGCAGTTCAATTAACTTCCAGAAGATGGCTGAACCTGCAGGAATACCAGAGCAAGAAACTGATGTCTGACAACGGAGTGAAAGTTCAAAGATTCTTTGTGGCAGACACTGCGAATGAAGCTCTCGAGGCTGCTAAGAAACTAAGTAAGCTGATTCATAATGGGTGAAATACACTTGCCCAAATCAGTAAATTCGCAGGTAGTGGTTTCTCACTAGTTAATTTTTTTTGTTGTGGGTTAAACTGAGAGGGTCAGATACAGGGGAGAGCTTAGAATTGCAAAAATCCAGATGGCCTTGTATACCTGTGTGCAAGTGTGCAGGAATCACATGGTGGCTGCAAGACGAGGGGAGGGGTCTGCTCTCAGAGCTTTGTCCCTGTGAGTCTTCAGTCCTGCTGACCAGTGAGGAGAGGTGGAATCACAGGACAGCCTTCAGTGTGATGGCCTGTATGTAGGTGAGTAGAGCCTTCCTTCCCTGACACATCTAGCAGTTTCCTCTAGACTGGGCCGTGCCTGACCCATGCTGCATGAGATTCACAGGCACCTCTGTGTCCTTGCTTCCGCCAGGATCACTCACTCAAGGCGCTTGGCCTAAGTGTAAAAAACCTTAGAACAGGCTCTTTAGGGTGGCTTATGCCTGTAATTTCAGTACTTTGAGAGGCTGAGGAGGGAGGATCACTTGAGGCCAGGAGTTTGGTATCAGCTTGGGCAACATAGCAAGACCTGTTTCTACAAAAACTAAAAAGCTAGTCTAGTATGGTGGTATGTATGTGCCTGTAGTCCTAGCTCCTCTGGAGGCTTCGGCAGGAGGATCCCTTGAGCCCAGGAGTTCGAGATTGCAGTGAGTTATGATCACACTAATATACTCTAGGCTGGGCAACAGAGTGAGACCCTATCTCTCTAAACAACAACAGCAACAACAACAAAAACTTAGAACAACAAACAATTTTCTTTTTTTTTAGTATCCCTCAGGGAGGGTGTATCCTTAGAAATTCTTACAGTGTGAGCATGAGGGTGTTTTCATCTCAGCTCTTTTTGAAGAATCGTGCAACAGTGGAGCATGGTTCAATAATGTGTCGAGGGAATGGATGGAAGCCTTCAACAATATTTGATGACATAAAAAGGAAATGGTGATCAACGTTAACTAAGAAAGGATATGATAACAGCAGTTTAAAAAAGCAAAAAATGTCAGTTTAGGAAACTATTCTTTTCCATGAGATAGCAGCACATGAGATGTTGCTCCATGGTAATTTTTCAGAGATTCCAGTCGCTGTTTCACCCAGTTCTTTCAGCTGTGGGTTAGTGGCTGGGAGAAACATGGCTGAAGGGCTTGAGAAGCCATTGCAGGGTGAGTCAGTAGTTGTTAGCACCCTTCTTTAAGTCCCTTAGAACATGGGGAGAGCACCCTCTGAGTGACTGGAGGAGACCAAAGGCAAGAGTATGACTTTAAAGTCAAGCTGACTTTACTTCCGTGTTTTGCCCTCTCTTTTACCAGCTTAGTAATTTTGCAGATGTACCTTCTTCATCCTTGCCTCAGTTCCTTTGTCTGTAGGTCAAAGCTAATAGTACTTATTTCCTAATGCTATTGCGAGTCTTTAAGAGTGTATTAGTCTGTCGTCCTGCTGACATACCTGAGATTGGGTAATTTATAAAGGAAAGAGGTTTAGTGGACTCACAGTTCCACATCGCTGGGGAGACCTCACAATCATAGTGAAAGACAAAAGAAGAGCAAAAGGATGTCTTAGATGGTGGCAGGCAAGAGAACTTGTGCAGCAGAACTCCCGTTTATAAAACCATTAGATCTCGTGAGACTTACTACCGTTAGAACAGTATGGGGAAAACTGTCCCCATGATTCACTTATCTCCACCTGGCCCCACCCTTGACATGTGGGGATTATTACAATTTAAGGTGAGATTTGGGTGGGGACACACCCAAAGCATATGAAATGGAGATTGTTGTGTGGTAGAACATCTAGCCAATTTTTCTATTTACAGATTTAGATATTAGGGATGAGGTCCTGCTGTCTGGCTTTCAATGAGTATCCTGTTTGCCCACTGGTGGCAAACAGACTCTCTAGTTATCAGTCAGGATTGCCACTGTCTGGTAGGAGTATAATGTGAGGCACATAGGTATTTTAAAGTTTTCTAACAGTCACATTAAAAAAAGAAAAAATAAATGGGCCAAATTAATGTTACTAATATATTCTGCCTACTCCAATATATCTAAAACATCATTTCAACTTGTAATTAATATAAAAAGTTATCAATGGGATATTTCGTGTTCATTTTTTTGTCCCGATTTTCGGAAACCTGGTTGGAATTCTACACTTCCAGCACATCTCATTTCAGACTAGTCACATTTTAGGTGCTCAAGAGACTCATGTGGCTAGTTGCTACAATCTGGGACAGTGCAGATTTGGACACTAGAAGGATTTGCATGTGCATTCTTTGGGAATGCAGTTGTTTTACACTAAAAATAAAAAATAATGCATCTGCTACTCAGTCTTGTCCAGGCCTAAAGCAAAGGTTGAGAGTGTAAGGTAGAGGCACTCTCCAAATTTCAATTTTCTAATTTTCTATGCTTTTTAAGAGTAAGTGCTCAGGGACTTTGGCTAGTAATTGTTCTTTGATCTCCTTTTTAAAGTTCTCTCAGATGCTAATACACTAGACCCTTTCTATGTTATGTTAGTTGAAATATACATGTATTCTTTTATGGAACAAATATTTATCGAGGGTCAGCCATATACTAGGCACTGTGGACATAGCTGTGGAAGACAGGTAAACCCTTTTTCTTCATAGAATTTACATTCTAGAAAGAAATTAACTTGTCACTTTCAGATGTTAAATGTAGAAATTTAGAGTGACTTATATTTTAAGAAATGAAATTGGTTTCATTTTTAAAAACTATCAGGATTGGTGTCTACAGTGAAAAAATCCCAGTAAAATTAGATCTAAACCTGGATGAGAGCTCCTCAGTGAACTGTGATAATAGACTCAGTAAAGGTTAGTACTGTATTCCAGCCTTTTCATAAGAAAGGATCATTTTTGTTTTATACTCTTGTGGTTTTGGGGATTGGGAAGAGAGAGCAAAGAAATGTGAAGTTCAAGTTGGTCTTTGATCTTCATTTCCCCATTATTTTCTTAAATATAGTGAAGCACTAGCATTACAGGTATAACTAAGCTTTTTTTTAAAGAGAATTCTCAAGCCAGCTTATTACTCCCCTCACCCCTCTTAGGCATAATAGTATCTTTGAGATATTCCTGATGGAGATATGCATTTAGTGAATTAATTGACTTCTTAGTTATGGGTTTGTTTTATGAATATTTATGTAGCCATTGTATTGTGTTTGGTGATTGTATACCATGCTTTTTATTTTTATTTATATTTATGTTTTCCTTCTTTTTTGTTTGTTTTTGAGACAGAGTCTCTCTTGTTCAGGCTGGAGTGCAGTGGCATGATCTCAGCTCACTGCAACCTCCGCCTACCAGGTTCAAGCAATCCTCCTGCCTCAGCCCCACTAGTAGCTGAAATTACAGGCACGTGCCACCATGCCTGGCTAATTTTTGTTTTTTTTTTTGGTAGAGATGAGGTTTTGTTATGTTGGCCAGGCTGGTCTCCAACTCCTGACCTCAGGTGATCCACCCTCCTTGGCTTCCCAGAGTGCTAGGATTACAGACATGAGCCACTGTGCCCGGCCTTATTTTTTGCTGCTTTTAGACGCAGGGTCTCACTCTGTCACCCAGGCTGAAGTGCAGTGGTATAATCATAATTCATTGCAATCTCAAACTCCTGGACTCAAGTGACTTTCCTACCTCAGGCTCCAGAGTAGCTAGGACTGCAGGCACACACCACCACATCTAGCTAATTTTTCTATCTTTGTTCTTTGTAGAGATGGGGTCTCTCTGTGTTGCCCAGTTTGGCTTCAAGTGATTCTCCTGCCTTTGCCTCTCAAAGTGCTAATATTATAGTCGAGAGCCATTGCACCCGGCTGTATCATGCTTTTAATAGATTTTTTGCTGTGTAGGAATGAGCAATGTTGCATTGACATGCTGGGGCTGGGACAAGGAAGGGAAAAAAGACAAGCAATTTTAAGTAAAAGAAAATTAATGAAAAAAGCTTTTTTTAAAGCTAATTTTAATTCTTCAGGTATGCTTTCAAGAAATACAAACTGGATAAAGGGTTGAGAATGATAAAAGGATTGACAAATTCAAACTGGATAAAGGAATGGAGAACAATACATGATTTTGTGTGTGTGTGTGTGTGTGTGTGTGTGTAGGAGTGTGTGAGTGTGTGCAAACAGGCTTTCTCCTGTGCATATCTTTGATGCTCTTTAAGGTAGTGTGGCCAACAGAGGGACTCCCTGTGATCCTATCTAAAGCTAAAAAGGAATATGGAAAATTCAGACTCCTTATTTGGTGAATGAATGAATAGTCAGTCCTTCCTGTACTCAGTGAGTAGTTTTGGTAGAAGGAAGGTGTCATCTGATTTCTGTTGTTAAATAGTTTTGATCTAAGGGGAAATTTATAGCATTAGAAGAGGATATGGTACCAGTTCTAGTTGGTTAAAAGTGAAATGAGTTAATCATAAGTACAAAAATTGTGTGCACATCACTGAGATTGCCTGGAGAGAACAAAGCAAGAAGAATCTGGGAAAACTTCAGAGTATTTGCATTGTTGTCACAAGATTGACAGAACCAACAGCACGTTTGGAGTTTTAGCAAATAGATTTGAGGTTAAGATTAAAACTGGATTATACATACATCTTCCTGATTGTCCTGAAAAAATGGGACCTTCACCTTATAATTATGATATTATGAGAGCAAATTGCGTAGAGTGATAATGTATCTAATATGCAGGAAGTGCTATATAAGATTTTATTGCTATCATCATCATCATCATCATCGTCATCAATGGCAGCAAATTCCAAGTGTTTCCCTACTGTTGTGATTCTAATTCACAGAGAGATCAGAGACATGATAATCACTATTCTGTTCATCATGTGTTAGGAGAGTTTATATTTTAATTAGAAAGATTTATAAATAACTGAAATGTATTTGCTTACCTTTCTACTTCAGTCCTATTTTGATGTGTTTTGAAATGAAATTTTATAAAATATTTTGAAAATAAATGTGATGTTTATCGTAT